TCATTTTTTAATAATATCCCACATCCCCTGAAAGAATTTGATAGAAAAATAATCAGGATGAGAAGATTTGTCAGCACCCAAAGCACATGTTGCAGCTTTGTTCCCTTCCAGAACAAAAGGAGAATCCATAATTTCTTGAATAGCAGGTTCGTTAGTAGAAGAGACCTTATAAAAAAATTAATAATAAGATCGAGAGTTTCTGACAAATAGGTGTTGGAAGTGAAGATGAAAAACGTAAAGCAAGTCCATTTAATTATTTATAAAATTTCCACCAACATGAGTTTATTGAATTAAATCTCTTTCTACCATTGATGATTTTAAGATATTTTTTTTATTTTATATCTTTGATGCCAATATATTTCTTCTTCCTTGAGCTTGTTTTAGAGCAATGTTTTACCATTTTCATATTCTTCAAATCAAGAGATTGTACTAAAATTGTTTTAGCTTTCATTTCGATATCATTAAGTTTATTGTTCATAAAGGTTTTCTCCTCTTGATTGATAATGTGGTGTATTGTCTTTTCCAAGCTTTAAGACTCCTAGTGAGTCTAAGTTTCATGATAAGACAACCCAATTTTTATGGTAGAGAAATTATTATATCAACAGATAACCATATTTTTGAAGCCATCCCATTAATTTTCGAATTTGAATAATGTCATTTTGATACCGGACTGAGGTTAGAAATAAAGATGATAGGGGCTATTAGAAAAAAGAGCAACAACAACACGCCTAAAGCCTTTATCTCACTATGTGGGGTCGGTTACATGAATTTTTTTTCTCCATTGTATTCTATTAAGAGTCAAGTTCTCATTTAAATCTAATAAAAAAAGCCTTTTATAATACTTTTTAGCCAGGTCCTTTTAGGTCTATTTCTATCTTTCTTAATATAGGTCAGATCTAATTCATCTACACTCCTAACCAGGACCCAGGTCATCAAAAGACTGATGTTTTATGTGACCAAATCATCTAAGACGACTATCTCTAATCTTATCCGCCACTGGAGCAAATCTAAGCTTTTCACATATATACTTGTTTCACATTATTTCTCTAAGTGTAATGCCACTTATCCGCCCGAGCATCCTCATCTTTGCAACACTTGACTTAATTTTATGCCTCTTTTAATGGCTAACATTCTGCACCATAAAGCATTATTGTCTCACAGCATTTTATAGAATTTTCCCTTTAAGTTTGAGGGGTACTTTTCTATCATACAGTAGGCTTGATGCATTCCTTCACTTCAACCATCCAACTTGAATTGTACTATAATAAAAGGTAACAATCCAATTGTGCAAAAATATATTCCTTTCGCTTTTAAAATTCACCGTGCGCGGTCGAACCGATCCGTCAACAAAGTCAAGGCACTCTCCAATATAATTTCGGACTAAAGTATTACAATGAACTTTAATAACATCCATGAACAAATAAATACCAATTATGTGTTGATGCATTGATCATTATGCTACTGCATCATCAAATTTGCTAACATATTTAAAGCTGTCAAATGACCCTACTACTTGCACAGAGGGTTTCAACATTCCTCTAAAATATAAATGATCATAAAACTCCTGACTTGTCTTCAAAATTATAGTGTCAACCCAATTGATTAGGCTAAGGACCTAAGTTTAAACTTACTGATTCCAAATTAAACTAAGGTTTTGGAAAATCATCTCATCACACATTAATATACACACTACATTAAAAAAAAAATTTCTAATCAATCGAGCCGCCTTACCTATAAAAGGTCGTCAATTCTGTTTATGGGCCTTCCAATTGATGGAAGTCCCACCCCACGTTCCCAAGCTTTTCAATCCTATTTATGAACCTTCCTATTGATGGAAGCCCCACCCTAATGAATTCTCCACACAAAGCTAGCAGACTTATTAAATTAAATATTAGGCATTTCAAATGTGAGCTCTAATCTTATATTAAATTTAGGCTAGCTCCCATAATAACATGCTCATCAATTATATCCATTCCAACAAAAATACCATGTGTCTTGGTTTTTTTTTGAGTCAAGATGAAACTTATGGATAATTTATATTCATGTCATAAAAATGAGTTCTTATCAATCATGTTTAGTGCGGCTGAACTACAATAGACCAAACTTTGTAACTGTAAATCATTTAATGATATTGGTATGACCAGCCCTTTGCTAATGAAGAAGTTGATGCCAAGCTTGAAAGCTTGTCTTCAACACACATTTCTACATCAACATGCTCGGAAATCGGAATTCCTGAGAGGAGATAACTAATCTGATTTCCTCAATGTTATTGTTTAAAATCCTCTGATGTTTGCAGACTAGGTCCATTTGTATACTTGACATGATGAAATAATGAGATCTCGATTGTTTACTTTTCTATTATTCCAACGATTCCTTGTTAGTTAATTTCAAACCTAAATAATGAACCTGAGTCTAAAATTTGAGCTTAAGCATACTCCTTAATCTAGAGTGTTCTCTTATGAGCAGGATAGATAAACCCTAATTGACAATTAGGGTTTGTGCCCATATGAATTCTGATTCCCCATATCTATATAAACCCTAGTGTCTTTGCTAGGAAAATCAGTTTAAAAGAAATCTAATCTTCCTAAGAAAATTTTCTCTCGAGTTTTTATTTTGTGCATTGAGAAAAAATGAGGCTGCGGATGGCATTTCCAGAGGGAATCAAAGACATGGTTAAAAATAAACTTTTAAGAGGGCTTACATTAATTTTTTTTAATTATTCTTATTCAATGTTTAGTTAATTATCAAAAGTAGCTAACTCTATCAAGATGTAATTTTCATGTTACATAAATTGTTGAATGTTGATGCACAAATACTGTGTGTGTGTGAGAGAGAGGGAGGAAGGCGTCAACCTCATCTAGAGGAAATAGCCTCTGCACGTGGCTCTCAACTTGGTTTGCTACACTCAACCCCCTTTCCTAAGGTGATTTGAAGCTCGAGCATATGTCGCTAGCAACCCTAACATGCCTACCAGCCACACAAAAGGGGGGAGGGAGCATGTGCAACACTATTTGCAATCGATCAACTAAAAGAACAAAGTAGGTGCAAAAAAATCTTGTTAGGGTTTTCTTTACTTATTCATAAAATTATTGTTGATGGATGGTTGTGATTTGGAGATGGCCCGTTGCATCTTTTTCCGTGTTGAGCTATGCATGACCAATAATTGGATATCTGGCTCGTAATAATACATTTTATTTATTTATTTTATATTTAATATTTTTTTTATTTTGTACAAACATTATTTGTGAGCATTGTCTGATAGGCTGATACATCTGAAAAGCTAAATTTGACACATTCATTTCAATAGACTGAAAAAATTTAAAGTTTAAATTGAGGCTTGCTATTTTTATTCTTATTTGTAAAGTCGTCACAATAATTAAAATCAAAGGGCGACAAACGTCTTTCTAAACGCTAATTCTTTCCTAAATATTTAGCTATTCTTCTTGTAAGGATGCGGTATGAAAACTTATCTCTAGCCCCTGAGCTTAGTAATGCTGTTACACTCTTTCCATTTGCAGGGTATCTATATTTTCATTTATGGTGATCGATAAGACTTTTTGCATCATCTCATGTTTGCATTGCCTTTTTTATTATTCATCCTATCGAATGTATTCTAAATTTGCTTCATTTTCTATTGAATCCTGTCAGCTATACGTTCCATCATTCCCATTATCATCTCCATTGATACCACGGCCTGAAATATGTATTGAAGCTCCCATAAGAATGGACTATTTTGTTCTAGTATATGTAATAAATGGGTTTATCAAGGCAGTGGTTTCAAGCTCCTGGTATTTAATGGAATCTTCCTATTGATTGTTAAGATTTGACATAATTTAAATCGGAAAGTCTATGAAAGTAAGATTGATTACCTCATAATTTGGACAAATTGGAAAAATGCAAGCATTTGAAATATTACCAAGCTTTGTGAGCACTTTTGTGTTGGAATGTATGCTTTGTTGAGTGGGCTTATTACATTGTTTGCATGTTTGATTGTTTTCTTATCATTTGTTCTTTCACATGCAGGAGATTCATGATGGTTTGGACTTCTCTGCAGTTGGGGATGAGAATGCTTTCGGAATATTTTCAGTAAAATTTTCAAGCGATGGTCGGGAACTTATTGCTGGAAGCAGTTATGACTCCATCCATATTTATGATCTTGAAGCAAACAGATTGAAATCACGTTTTGAAGCACACTTGGTACAACAAAAAATATAAATATAACACTTGCTGCTTACTGTACTGGTTTCTTCAATGTTTTCCATGAAAAATAATGAAATATAGCTGATCTATCTGTCTAATAAGTGGCTCTTCACTTGTCTTTTGTTCGGGATTAATTAAAATATCTTCTTATACAAATTATAGTTTTCCTATGTGACAAAGTATTTATACCTCTGCATATTTATAGATTGAATCAAGATGTACTTAAAAGCCAATAACTTCAATGACAATGTCTATTTTATAGACACATAAAACCACTGAACTTTGTGACAAAACTAGATGCTTATAGAAATTCATGGACCACTGAAAGAAAATTGCCCTAGTAAACTTTTGATGGTTTACTCAATATCCTGTTAGTGGAAAAGTGTTGTAAGTGTTACCTGGAGCCCTCATGACTAAACCGTAATTCGTATAGATGCATGGATCCATGTATGCGGACTTTACAGGTTTCCATAAGAATGATGTATAAATGTGGAAAGTTGCAAAAACAAAAAAAAGGTTTGAAACAGAGTTAACGTTCCACCAGTTTCTTGTTAATACTGTGGTATCTAAAAACAAAGAACCACTAGTAAAACTTTCACTTCATACTAAGTATTGTCCCACTTATCAGAAAAAGGAACTTGGTGATGTTTTCTTTATTGCTATGCATTAATGTGGTAGGCTTCAATAGTAAAGGTCAACAAATATATGACATGGTTGAAAGGTTTGCAAAATGATTTGTGCAAAATAAGGATTAATATAGCCAACCCCAAATATTTGGTATAAGGAAATGATGATATGATTATCTTAGAGCGTTTTACTAATTTGCTTTATCTTTTTATATGATGCTCTGTTTCTCTAAGGAGGTTTACATGGATGTGTAGAACAATGATATCAGCATATCCTGAATGCTATTCATACAGTATTTGATTTGAGTATTCAATTTCTTTGCATGTGTAGAGGTTTCATGGCAGGGTTTCACATGTTTGGAGGGCAATATCCATCATTACAGTATTTGTCTATCTATCTGAGATTTGAATTCACGGATCCTTTTTTTATTTTTTTATTTTGAATTCACGGATCCTTCTTTCTTGTTCAATCCTGTTAATTTTTTCGTCTGATTTTAACTAATTGAACCATTTTTCATGATTGTTAATCGTGTTACTTTTGATTCACCCATTTACTTTACTTTAGTTGCATCTCTTTATCTTATTAATGCACCTTGCTTATTATTTTTCACTTTATTTAAGTTTATTCTTCAAACCTAGTTTTTCACAAGTGTTACTCCTACATTCTCTGTGAAATATGTTTATTTTTTATTTTTTTAATAGAAAGAGTCTTAATTTGTTGATAAGACTAGAGAGGGAGTTGAAAGTAAACTTGAATTATGGAGGTCAACACTAGAGACTAAAGGTTTTCGCTTGAGTAAATCTAAAACGTAATATATGGAGTGTAATTTTAGTAGTTAGCTTGATGTTGTTGTTGTTGTTGTTGTAAAGAGTCTTATTAATTCACATTATCTACTGCCCAAATATCTATATATTTTCCATATATATTTTTTCCATTTATGTTCAACCGTTTACAATAAAGCATAATAATATAGTTTAATAAAAAGAATTACTTGATATCTTCAAATCTAGGTATCAACCTATTTTTTTATCCATTCGAGAGAATTTCTTAATTTAGACAGGATTTGAACCCAGAATGATGGAAATAACTACCAAGGTGTTAGCTACATGTCATCCACAATTTATCAGCTTACAGATAGTACAAGTATCATGAATGATGTAATGTAGAAAGTTTCTATCGTTTACTGTTGCCATCTTGATAAATTCTTTAAATATTCTTTATATGCATACAAGACATAACAAGACTCATGTTTCTTCTATTCTTGATTATATATGCCTTAAATATGATTGAATTTAGGATTTATCTGAAGCAAGGTTATCAATGCGCAAAGCACAATATGACACACAATAGGTGCCTTCATTATGATATCACTTGATGTAGATATGATGATTGTTCATTAATGTTATATGGGCTGTGACCCTGATTATGACTAAATAGAATTTGATTCCTTTGCCTAATTATTGCCTAAATTTCTTGTCGCATCTTATGATTTTTGAAACTTTAGGTCAGTGAAGTAGTTTCATTTTAGGCTAATGTTATATGTAAATTTAAGAAGATACGCTGCTTAAAAGAAACAAAAAATATTTAAATGTAATATAAAAAGAAAGTCTATAATCATTCGAAATGTTATACATATTTCCCAGTAACATATAAGAATCAGAGCAGGAGATGCCTGATGTCCTATTTAAGTATTTTAAAATTCCTATTTGTTGAAATTTATAGGTTGCTTTTGACTTATTCTGTTTATTATTATTTTTCCTTTTTCCAGTATGATGTGAACACAGTGACCTTCGCTGATGAAACTGGTAATGTCATATATTCAGGTGGTGATGATAGTATCTGTAAGGTACTTTCTCATGATTGCATTTGTTAATTTCTTCTGATTAAAATTTTGCTTCGAGCATTGTTGGATAGTGGATGTTTTCTCCAAGCTTTGAGCTCAATTTTACTGAAATTAGAATCTCTGCTTCAAAGAGTTTTATTTAGAACATTTTCTTCTTTAAAGTACTGTGCAAATAGATTTGGCACTGTAATTAGTTGAATTCCATCCTTTTTGTTGCTTTTTTGCATCCATCATACTTGTAAAACTAACAAGCCTAGCTGTGCAATGCACGGGGAAGCATGCCAATTCCAAGAAGTGAAGAATAAGGCCATTTATGAATAAAGATATTTTCTCCGTAAAAGTTGTTGAACCTTTTTAATCCCAAACAAGTATCTTCTTCTGGGCTAACTGTGTGTTACGCCGGCCCAGGAACTGTTTTCCTGTGTAAAACTGCTGTCCACTGCTGGAAACAGCAGTTTTTCCCTGATTCCGCTTCAGTTTTGGCTAGGAATTACTTGATTTCAAGTATTTCCTATCACTGTGCAACAGGCCTCTATTTTGGAATCCAATCACTTGTAAATCTACAAATGAATTCACAATTAGCATGAGATATTTATAAAATATATTCAACAAGCTATAAAATTCGATCTCGAGGTTTCGATAAAGCCTCAAGTTAACAATGAAATTTGTTTGAATTATTTTGAAGACAATCATTTTGCCAAATGTCTATTCCAAATTTCTTCTGTGCTTGACACTTAGTTCGTGTACTTTTAATCATCTTGAGGGGTCTTGGAGAGGAAGATGTAGCAAACTTTCTCCTGCATGTTTGAGAAATTGATTCCAAACTTGAACAGGAAGCCTTCAATGCCACAATGGGGCAAACCAACATTAATCTTGCACACTCTGTTTTATGGATTCCCATTGCTATCTAAATATTTGATTGGTATGTAATAAATTAGAATAATATTTTCTGTTCAATGATTTTTATTTGCTACATTCTCACAACTTTTATAAATGGGACTTATCCCTTAATATCAATTATTTTCATCTTACTTTTGTAGTTTGCAGTTTCACTGTTTGAGTGACTATATTATTTCAATGCAGCATTTCAGTATGACATTGAAATCTGCTTTTATTTTGATATATCTAGGTTGGCTGGAGTTTGTTTAATTTTAGCTGAGTTCAATAATCTTCAGGTTTGGGACAGGCGTTGCTCTAATTCAGATAGCAAAGCAGCAGGAGCCTTATCAGGTCATATAGAAGGAATTACATATATTGACAGCCGCGGAGATGGCCGGTACTTCATTTCAAATGGCAAAGATCAGACTATAAAATTGTGGGATGTCCGCAAAATGACCTCCAAACCTGAATAGTAGGTGTTACTGATGTTAGAGCTTTTTATTTTTGATTTTTTTAGATAAAGTTCCGGGGTTTCTTTGACTAAGAACCCATGTCCTTTGACTTATATGTTAGAATTTTTCATTCAAAAGCATAGAGAGATATAAAGCCCAACGATTGAGAAATATCAATTTTTGGGGTGCTGAGTGATGTAGGACTAAATGCTTTTAAATGGATGAAATAAGAATATTGCACGATTCCTTGATTAGAACAATAAAGGTTTAACCATTAGCAATTAAAACGACAAAATAAAACAAGAGAAGGGTGCCTATGCCTACGCTTAGGCCAAGCCACTTGCTAAACTCTTGGAGAATCAAAATAACTTAGAAATTCAACAACATGCTAAGTAAATAGTTTTCAACAACATCTATAATCTAACAATAAGATTAGAAGCAAAGAAGAACACTCAATCCTACGTTTAATAGGCTTTGGCATTAGGTGAAACACGGCTCTTTGCGACTTGTCATCAACTACAAAGTTAGTGAATAATGAAAGCAAATGAAAAGGGGAATAGATTCACCCTTGGGAAGGTTCGGAGATGATTTGCCACTGAGCACCAACAAGTTGCTTGTCGATAGCCTCCGATAGCGTGAAGATGATGCGATCCACATACTCTTCAATGGAATGATCGATCTCCGGGTTGAAGTTGAAGAAGGGGGAGTGAAGGATATTAATGTATCCTTGCTCGTCGTAAGCGAACCCGTAATCAAGCTCTGGATCGACCATTCATGGGTTCTAGAAGAAGGTTGTATCCGAAGATCACTATCAATCCTTTGAAACTCCATTAGAGAGTCTCAAACTTTAAGTGGAGATGATGGTGGTGTGGCAAGCCAAGGATGGAGGGAGAAGGTTTCCAAGAAATGCTCTAATTAATTCCTATGATTGGAATTAATTAAAAGGAGAGAGGAGCTAGGTAGGGGCGGCAGCAAGGAGAGGAGATGTCACGACCCGGCCCGGTGAGCTCGCGTAGGCGAGGCGGGAACAGAGGTCGGATGGTAGGTTAAATTATCTAATGTCTAAATCTATCTCCATAATAATTGAAAGAGCCTCTAAAACATCAAATTGAAAACACATAAACATAAAAATCAGGCATAACCATAAAATTACCTTTCCTCAGACGCTCCTCTTCTACGGTATACATTTCCACCCCATCTACTCATAGTGATTTGCTACACTTACCTGAAAATGTTAACAACTAACATTAAGCTAAAGCTCAGTAAGTAATACACAATTCTAAACTACAACAATTAAGATAAACTGAATAATATGCTAAATGCCAATTTTATATGAACATAACATAAAAATAATTTCATACTAACATAACATTAAACAAATCATATCATAAACCATATTTTTCATTTTCCTTTCCATATTCATATCATTATACATAGCTTTCTCGTTTCATATATAATACAACCGTCACAGGAGCCACTGTTTAGTACCATAAACAGTGGCTTTCTCGTTAAAAACAGTAGCTTTCTCGTTTCATATATAATACAACCGTCACAGGAGCCACTGTTTAGTACCATAAAGGTACTCCTTTACCATTTCTTTTTTCATATCATTTACCATTTTAACGTGCATGAGTACAGCGTCCCCAGCTAGTACCATCAGGGGGTGAGCTCCATCATTTCAACATGCACATACAAGCATTCAAATAACATTCATGTCATATCATATCTTTTCATTCTATATAACATATAAATTCTATAATATTATGCCATAAAATGTACATGAAAATTTCATGATCAATTATTTGATGAGAGTTAAGAGCATGATTGGTTTATCAAATCATATAAGTTAGAAACAAGATAAATTACTGCAATTAAAGAACTATGCATACTTACAGAAGTTTGGAATCTGATTTCTCTTGCTAGTCCTTCTTCCTTCGATGTCACCACAATTAATCACCTATAAATATCAATTTCTCATTTTTAAAATCTACAAAATAATTTAAAATAAAATCTTTTCTTTCTAAACTATTCTAGATTCTCTCTCTTTCCCTCACTCTCTCTCTCTCTCTCCCAATTAAAGCTTAACACATACATATATTCTAAAAATTCAATAGTTTGCATAATTATATATATTAATGAAAATAACACTTTACCTAAAACCTAAATTAATTTAAAATAAGTTGTATTTTCGGATTTAACCTAAAACCAAAATTTTGGAAAACCTATTTTCATTAAAATGCTTAATTTTTGCATGCTAAAACTTCCCATTCATCAAAATAATAATTATGGAAAACTAATTTTCGGATTAACTAATTTTAAAAATTAGGAAAAATACCATTTTGTGAAAAAAGCCTAATTTATATCTTTAGAAACCTTCTTAGGACCCTTAGGAACCAAGATTATAAAAGCATTTTCAAAAACTCAAACTTTAGAG